GTGGTAGTGGTGTAGTGGGTTAGGTTTAGTGGAGTAGGTGAGGTGGTAGTGGTGTAGTGGGTTAGGTTTAGTGGAGTAGGTGAGGTGGTAGTGGTGTAGTGGGTTAGGTTTAGTGGAGTAGGTGAGGTGGTAGTGGTGTAGTGGGTTAGGTTTAGTGGAGTAGGTGAGGTGGTAGTGGTGTAGTGGGTTAGGTTTAGTGGAGTAGGTGAGGTGGTAGTGGTGTAGTGGGTTAGGTTTAGTGGAGTAGGTGAGGTGGTAGTGGTGTAGTGGGTTAGGTTTAGTGGAGTAGGTGAGGTGGTAGTGGTGTAGTGGGTTAGGTTTAGTGGAGTAGGTGAGGTGGTAGTGGTGTAGTGGGTTAGGTTTAGTGGAGTAGGTGAGGTGGTAGTGGTGTAGTGGGTTAGGTTTAGTGGAGTAGGTGAGGTGGTAGTGGTGTAGTGGGTTAGGTTTAGTGGAGTAGGTGAGGTGGTAGTGGTGTAGTGGGTTAGGTTTAGTGGAGTAGGTGAGGTGGTAGTGGTGTAGTGGGTTAGGTTTAGTGGAGTAGGTGAGGTGGTAGTGGTGTAGTGGGTTAGGTTTAGTGGAGTAGGTGAGGTGGTAGTGGTGTAGTGGGTTAGGTTTAGTGGAGTAGGTGAGGTGGTAGTGGTGTAGTGGGTTAGGTTTAGTGGAGTAGGTGAGGTGGTAGTGGTGTAGTGGGTTAGGTTTAGTGGAGTAGGTGAGGTGGTAGTGGTGTAGTGGGTTAGGTTTAGTGGAGTAGGTGAGGTGGTAGTGGTGTAGTGGGTTAGGTTTAGTGGAGTAGGTGAGGTGGTAGTGGTGTAGTGGGTTAGGTTTAGTGGAGTAGGTGAGGTGGTAGTGGTGTAGTGGGTTAGGTTTAGTGGAGTAGGTGAGGTGGTAGTGGTGTAGTGGGTTAGGTTTAGTGGAGTAGGTGAGGTGGTAGTGGTGTAGTGGGTTAGGTTTAGTGGAGTAGGTGAGGTGGTAGTGGTGTAGTGGGTTAGGTTTAGTGGAGTAGGTGAGGTGGTAGTGGTGTAGTGGGTTAGGTTTAGTGGAGTAGGTGAGGTGGTAGTGGTGTAGTGGGTTAGGTTTAGTGGAGTAGGTGAGGTGGTAGTGGTGTAGTGGGTTAGGTTTAGTGGAGTAGGTGAGGTGGTAGTGGTGTAGTGGGTTAGGTTTAGTGGAGTAGGTGAGGTGGTAGTGGTGTAGTGGGTTAGGTTTAGTGGAGTAGGTGAGGTGGTAGTGGTGTAGTGGGTTAGGTTTAGTGGAGTAGGTGAGGTGGTAGTGGTGTAGTGGGTTAGGTTTAGTGGAGTAGGTGAGGTGGTAGTGGTGTAGTGGGTTAGGTTTAGTGGAGTAGGTGAGGTGGTAGTGGTGTAGTGGGTTAGGTTTAGTGGAGTAGGTGAGGTGGTAGTGGTGTAGTGGGTTAGGTTTAGTGGAGTAGGTGAGGTGGTAGTGGTGTAGTGGGTTAGGTTTAGTGGAGTAGGTGAGGTGGTAGTGGTGTAGTGGGTTAGGTTTAGTGGAGTAGGTGAGGTGGTAGTGGTGTAGTGGGTTAGGTTTAGTGGAGTAGGTGAGGTGGTAGTGGTGTAGTGGGTTAGGTTTAGTGGAGTAGGTGAGGTGGTAGTGGTGTAGTGGGTTAGGTTTAGTGGAGTAGGTGAGGTGGTAGTGGTGTAGTGGGTTAGGTTTAGTGGAGTAGGTGAGGTGGTAGTGGTGTAGTGGGTTAGGTTTAGTGGAGTAGGTGAGGTGGTAGTGGTGTAGTGGGTTAGGTTTAGTGGAGTAGGTGAGGTGGTAGTGGTGTAGTGGGTTAGGTTTAGTGGAGTAGGTGAGGTGGTAGTGGTGTAGTGGGTTAGGTTTAGTGGAGTAGGTGAGGTGGTAGTGGTGTAGTGGGTTAGGTTTAGTGGAGTAGGTGAGGTGGTAGTGGTGTAGTGGGTTAGGTTTAGTGGAGTAGGTGAGGTGGTAGTGGTGTAGTGGGTTAGGTTTAGTGGAGTAGGTGAGGTGGTAGTGGTGTAGTGGGTTAGGTTTAGTGGAGTAGGTGAGGTGGTAGTGGTGTAGTGGGTTAGGTTTAGTGGAGTAGGTGAGGTGGTAGTGGTGTAGTGGGTTAGGTTTAGTGGAGTAGGTGAGGTGGTAGTGGTGTAGTGGGTTAGGTTTAGTGGAGTAGGTGAGGTGGTAGTGGTGTAGTGGGTTAGGTTTAGTGGAGTAGGTGAGGTGGTAGTGGTGTAGTGGGTTAGGTTTAGTGGAGTAGGTGAGGTGGTAGTGGTGTAGTGGGTTAGGTTTAGTGGAGTAGGTGAGGTGGTAGTGGTGTAGTGGGTTAGGTTTAGTGGAGTAGGTGAGGTGGTAGTGGTGTAGTGGGTTAGGTTTAGTGGAGTAGGTGAGGTGGTAGTGGTGTAGTGGGTTAGGTTTAGTGGAGTAGGTGAGGTGGTAGTGGTGTAGTGGGTTAGGTTTAGTGGAGTAGGTGAGGTGGTAGTGGTGTAGTGGGTTAGGTTTAGTGGAGTAGGTGAGGTGGTAGTGGTGTAGTGGGTTAGGTTTAGTGGAGTAGGTGAGGTGGTAGTGGTGTAGTGGGTTAGGTTTAGTGGAGTAGGTGAGGTGGTAGTGGTGTAGTGGGTTAGGTTTAGTGGAGTAGGTGAGGTGGTAGTGGTGTAGTGGGTTAGGTTTAGTGGAGTAGGTGAGGTGGTAGTGGTGTAGTGGGTTAGGTTTAGTGGAGTAGGTGAGGTGGTAGTGGTGTAGTGGGTTAGGTTTAGTGGAGTAGGTGAGGTGGTAGTGGTGTAGTGGGTTAGGTTTAGTGGAGTAGGTGAGGTGGTAGTGGTGTAGTGGGTTAGGTTTAGTGGAGTAGGTGAGGTGGTAGTGGTGTAGTGGGTTAGGTTTAGTGGAGTAGGTGAGGTGGTAGTGGTGTAGTGGGTTAGGTTTAGTGGAGTAGGTGAGGTGGTAGTGGTGTAGTGGGTTAGGTTTAGTGGAGTAGGTGAGGTGGTAGTGGTGTAGTGGGTTAGGTTTAGTGGAGTAGGTGAGGTGGTAGTGGTGTAGTGGGTTAGGTTTAGTGGAGTAGGTGAGGTGGTAGTGGTGTAGTGGGTTAGGTTTAGTGGAGTAGGTGAGGTGGTAGTGGTGTAGTGGGTTAGGTTTAGTGGAGTAGGTGAGGTGGTAGTGGTGTAGTGGGTTAGGTTTAGTGGAGTAGGTGAGGTGGTAGTGGTGTAGTGGGTTAGGTTTAGTGGAGTAGGTGAGGTGGTAGTGGTGTAGTGGGTTAGGTTTAGTGGAGTAGGTGAGGTGGTAGTGGTGTAGTGGGTTAGGTTTAGTGGAGTAGGTGAGGTGGTAGTGGTGTAGTGGGTTAGGTTTAGTGGAGTAGGTGAGGTGGTAGTGGTGTAGTGGGTTAGGTTTAGTGGAGTAGGTGAGGTGGTAGTGGTGTAGTGGGTTAGGTTTAGTGGAGTAGGTGAGGTGGTAGTGGTGTAGTGGGTTAGGTTTAGTGGAGTAGGTGAGGTGGTAGTGGTGTAGTGGGTTAGGTTTAGTGGAGTAGGTGAGGTGGTAGTGGTGTAGTGGGTTAGGTTTAGTGGAGTAGGTGAGGTGGTAGTGGTGTAGTGGGTTAGGTTTAGTGGAGTAGGTGAGGTGGTAGTGGTGTAGTGGGTTAGGTTTAGTGGAGTAGGTGAGGTGGTAGTGGTGTAGTGGGTTAGGTTTAGTGGAGTAGGTGAGGTGGTAGTGGTGTAGTGGGTTAGGTTTAGTGGAGTAGGTGAGGTGGTAGTGGTGTAGTGGGTTAGGTTTAGTGGAGTAGGTGAGGTGGTAGTGGTGTAGTGGGTTAGGTTTAGTGGAGTAGGTGAGGTGGTAGTGGTGTAGTGGGTTAGGTTTAGTGGAGTAGGTGAGGTGGTAGTGGTGTAGTGGGTTAGGTTTAGTGGAGTAGGTGAGGTGGTAGTGGTGTAGTGGGTTAGGTTTAGTGGAGTAGGTGAGGTGGTAGTGGTGTAGTGGGTTAGGTTTAGTGGAGTAGGTGAGGTGGTAGTGGTGTAGTGGGTTAGGTTTAGTGGAGTAGGTGAGGTGGTAGTGGTGTAGTGGGTTAGGTTTAGTGGAGTAGGTGAGGTGGTAGTGGTGTAGTGGGTTAGGTTTAGTGGAGTAGGTGAGGTGGTAGTGGTGTAGTGGGTTAGGTTTAGTGGAGTAGGTGAGGTGGTAGTGGTGTAGTGGGTTAGGTTTAGTGGAGTAGGTGAGGTGGTAGTGGTGTAGTGGGTTAGGTTTAGTGGAGTAGGTGAGGTGGTAGTGGTGTAGTGGGTTAGGTTTAGTGGAGTAGGTGAGGTGGTAGTGGTGTAGTGGGTTAGGTTTAGTGGAGTAGGTGAGGTGGTAGTGGTGTAGTGGGTTAGGTTTAGTGGAGTAGGTGAGGTGGTAGTGGTGTAGTGGGTTAGGTTTAGTGGAGTAGGTGAGGTGGTAGTGGTGTAGTGGGTTAGGTTTAGTGGAGTAGGTGAGGTGGTAGTGGTGTAGTGGGTTAGGTTTAGTGGAGTAGGTGAGGTGGTAGTGGTGTAGTGGGTTAGGTTTAGTGGAGTAGGTGAGGTGGTAGTGGTGTAGTGGGTTAGGTTTAGTGGAGTAGGTGAGGTGGTAGTGGTGTAGTGGGTTAGGTTTAGTGGAGTAGGTGAGGTGGTAGTGGTGTAGTGGGTTAGGTTTAGTGGAGTAGGTGAGGTGGTAGTGGTGTAGTGGGTTAGGTTTAGTGGAGTAGTGGAGGTGGTAGTTGTGTAGTGGGTTAGGTTTAGTGGAGTAGGTGAGGTGGTAGTGGTGTAGTGGGTTAGGTTTAGTGGAGTAGGTGAGGTGGTAGTGGTGTAGTGGGTTAGGTTTAGTGGAGTAGGTGAGGTGGTAGTGGTGTAGTGGGTTAGGTTTAGTGGAGTAGGTGAGGTGGTAGTGGTGTAGTGGGTTAGGTTTAGTGGAGTAGGTGAGGTGGTAGTGGTGTAGTGGGTTAGGTTTAGTGGAGTAGGTGAGGTGGTAGTGGTGTAGTGGGTTAGGTTTAGTGGAGTAGGTTTAAGTGGGTGAAGTAGGTGGAGAGTAGGTGGATTTTAACACATATGCACTCGTTGCAACTGGAAGACCCAGAGCAGTAGCACCCTCATGTTGCTAGTTTAAGAGAATGAAATCAGTACTTTGATTTTGTTAGATGCTCTAATCCATCTAGTTGATTGAGAAGCTCCAGCATCGTCCCCTGCACTTCACTATCACCATTACCAGATCCAAATTCCATTCAAGCAGATCCAATGCTGTCGATTTCATCCATTAAAAAAAATAGAAATGAAGTCCAACTGGCACAAAAAATGAGATACGGATATGAATGAGAGTCGAAAAATGCACCATCTGGTGATACTACACAAAATCAACTAGGCTATGCTGTAACTAGATAACAGATCAACCCTGACATGCAAACTAAGCTAAGAAATTTCTGTACATATATTCTACACAATACACATGAGAGAGAGAGAGAGAGCGCTCCTAACAGAAAACTCAAAAAAATGGAGTGTGTCATGATGTTAAGAAGTTCCAGATTTCTTTCGTATTTTGACACTTCACCAGGATGCTCTGGTTTATTATCGTCGTTGTCATCAGTGTCGGCTCGATCAGTGTCATTGAAAGTCGTCCCATTCTCATCTTCGCCTCCATATTCTGATGAACCATTTACCTCCTTACTCAACCCCATATTTTCAATCAACTTTGCTGCATCTGCACTGTCATTAACATCCCCACTGTCTTGCACTGCATTGTAAATGAATAAATAATGAGTCAGCTTAACTGCGGTGCTGTTTGGTGCAACTTATAATGCTGCTTATAACTTTTCTTATTTTGAGTCTGTGAAAGTGTTTGGTGCAGCTTTTACTTATAGCTTATGAGACAGAAATAGCTCAAATAAAGTTGAAAAAAGCTGGGGAAATCATTCTTTTAGCTTCTATTTATCATCAACTTACAGCTTTGGAAAAGCTGCACCAAACAGGCTCTAAGAATAATTACACAACTACTGCTAAAAACAGGGAGGAAAATATTCAAATCTTGCCATCAGATGAGAACTCCTGAACTTCAACGCTATTGTATGTCATAACCTGGACCAATGGAGTTGAATTGTCATACTCACTAGCACTTCGCAATGATGATGCTGAAGCAACTTCAGGTTTGGTACTGCTTCAACTATATCACCACCACCATCATCAACATGTTTCTCCGTTTTCCTCTTTATATTAGCTGAAGAAGCTTGAGATGCCACGGCTATGCCTGCATTGAACCATGTTCAGATGAAAAATTTAGAACCATTACTGCTAGATCAAATCCCAATCAGGTGAAGTTAATGAAGATAATCCAACTTGATCACTTACATATGGAATCAAAAGATATTCGCTAGAGAACCCTTCAACATTATATGAAACCACATCACATGTAAAATTTGATTCATCTCCTATTTTCAAGCAAACTGGTTTTTACACTTCAATCATCAGTTCTGTTGCATACGGATACATTACCAATTTCTAAGTCTAAGAAGAGGGGTTATTATCCATTAAATTGACTCAAGTCTCCTTCCTATTAAACTCAATCTTCCTATGGTTTACCCTCCTATAAATTGGACATCAACGGTAGAGAACCCTTCAACATTAGATGATATTTGAGGGGGTTACGTAAGTTCCCACTCGGGAGAAATCTATAATAGGTTTCGTCTATTAACTTCTCGTGACTTTAGTAATTTCTATATCCCTGATGATTACCCACGTTAGAAACAGAATTTCTAATATCATCATCAAGATAATTTCCATAAAAAAAAAGTGAAACATGTTGCCAAGATAAGATCCATAAGCACATAGTACATTATTAGAGAAACAATTAACATTAACAATCTCAAATGCAACATTTAAATTGATCCTTAATAAATTATTAGGTACCAACAGTAGCACCATGAATATATTATTTATTGTAATACAACAATGCATATTTGGAAATTCTAAAGATTAAGGGCAGCAACTTGAAATCATCAAAATATGAAATAGAGTAGATAATCTTCAATTCATACCTGGATCAAGAGGTGATAATCTTCTTTGAAATAGCATAGCAGATCCTCGGGAGATCAACTTCTTAGCTGCTACCAAGAGACGGGGTTATGACAAATTGTTAGCAAGTATTCCTCCATATAAAATCTTGAAGCACTATGCTTTCTTGCAAAAATTAAAGCTATAACCACAAAACATGAGTACGTATTTTGTATGCTCTACTCTGGTTCGAAGAAAAAGGATATAAAAGATACAAAGAACCAAGAAAGAAAATATCGTAGTGCATGACACTTTAAACCTCCTATCTACAAACAAATTTGTGATGAAGTACCATCAAAATTATAAGTATAGAATAGCTAAAATTTAGTGAGGTGAGGTTAGCACAAACTGTGAATTTTAATTAATATTAAGTACAAAATTTGAAAGCATCTTCAAACAGGGGATGGTTACAAAAATTAAGAAACATATTTAACACATAACAACAGTCATAGGCTGGACAAACTATCCAGTGTTGTATTACCCCTAACAACATCAAAGGACAAAACAATATTGCAAGTCATGATGAAAAAAGTAGGATAAAATATCATAACTAAAACATTGTCAACGGAGATTGAATCATTGTACTTCAAACAGAAGTTAAAGTGAGATCTCGACAATACAAACAGTGAACAAACTCACCAGCCATGAGAAGAACAAGTCCCAGTTTCTGTTAGGTTTGAAAAAAGTAATTTATGTATATATATACCTGCAACATGTAGCTGTGACTATTTTAAACCCAGTCAAATACAAAACAGAAACACAGATTCAATCCAATGTCAATCTCTTAACAAGAAGACAACTTTTCTCAAGAAATATACTTAGTATTTTAGAGGTGCAGAAATTGCAATCAATATTAACAACAAAAATTCAAATGTTTATTACACATAAAACAAATGGAAGATAAACATCATTAAAAGAACCCAATAAAAAGTTGAGTCGTTTGAACCCTCTGAAAGGAACCAAATATTCATATTTGTGATACACAAATAAAAGGAACGCAAAATGTCTTACCATAGAAAAAAGTTGCCAAGGACATCCTTTAAGGTGCATATATAAACTATTGGGCCATAAGGTTCATCCATGTTAGGAGAGATAAGAGAAATTGGGGTACCTCCAATGTGATCAATAAGAGAAATAGGCAAACCTCTAAGGTTCATCCAAGATCTAGGCATTGCAATAACCAAATCGGATGGAGGGAAAGTAAAAGGGGAAGGAACTCAAATCCCAAAACCCAATAAAAATTATGAAATTCCCACGAGAATATGAATCAATCAAACCCTCCATCAGATGATTAGATGAGAAAACCTCAAAACCCATTAATATATAGTTGTGAATATGTCTGCACTGTATATTGCATTGAAATCATAAAGAATAGAGAAGAGAATGAATCAGAGAGACTAGAAATCATCCAGCACATTCAATGTTTTCCACACAATGAATAAGGAAACAACTTGGAATTGCAACCCAAATAAGTACCTCATTACTAAAACCAGTTAAAGTACCACATCGATCTGCAAAAGAAGAAAGAAAAAAAAAACAGTTTACACTAATGAATATCCAAGAAGAAAAGAGAAAACCAGAGTGAGAGAAAAATAATAGCATAAAACAACTATCACAAAAATAATAATAATAAATAAATAAATAGTAGAAGAAGAAGAGGAAGTGGTGCTTGAGTGGATTTGACTCTTTTTGGAAGAACAGATCAGGTCTGGAGGGACCAATCTCATTGCAAATAAATAAAAAATACAAATAAAAAAATCTGGAAAGTCCCTGCTACAATAGCAAATCAAAAAAATATTGAGAAGCAATAATTCCACCTAGAAGAACTATCAGAAAAATTTGGTCGATTATATCAAATCAAATATGCAAACTATGAGAGAGAGAGAGAGAGACCTCTCATTCTCAAACCATTGGAACACAGGTTTCGAGATCAAACCTGTTAGTTCTAAGAGGCCTCTTTTTCTTGAATCATGGGAGCACCGAGATCGATTCGACGCAAATGGAGCACGAAATACAAGTTTAGATATCAGATCCCTGCATTTCTAAGAGAAATTAGCGAAAACCCTAACAAGCTTTGAGTTCTCGAGATTAGGTTTCTAATCATACAAACCCCAAGCAAGAACAAGACATTGATGCGTACAGATTTTAATAGATTAGCATGAGAGAAATTGATCAAGAAACACAACAAAGTGAGATCAAAACAAACTCAATTTAATAGTTACGGTGAAATGTAGAAATCGAACATTGAGTTTCGGAAAAATTGGACTGATCTATAACTCCTCGCTTTCCAAGGCAAATCGCAAATCAATTAGAGGGAAATTGAAGAACACATAGATCCAAAGCCTAAATAAAATGATTACTGAGAAATCGAAGAAAAATCAGCAGATCCAAACCCTAGACGCCATTCTTGCAAACTCTCTCTCACTAAAAAGTAAAAACCCTCATCTCTCACTTACGCTTCTTTTTATGAGAGTGGGATTTTGTAAAATATATAGAAAAACTCAACAGGCTTTCCTCTTCGTATGCGGTGACATGACGTTTTTTGAAAAAAGCGTCACCTTTTCTGCAGCGTTTTTCAAAACATTGTTATATAAACGCCAGCATAACCAATATTTCTTATAGTGATGTTACGATTATCGGATTGACTTAAATTTTTATGGATAATATATATGGATAGTCTTACAAAATGAATAATTTGAATTATCAAAACAGAACCTGTGAACAACACCCCTAATTCAGATAGAATAGCCCTTCATTTACATTCAACAGTTATTTACATGAAGACCTCCTAACTATTGACAAGTATCATTTTGGCCTCTTAAACTATAAACTTGTACAAATAGATTCTCTAAACTATTGAGAAATATTATTTTGACCCCTTAAACTATAAAAGCATACAAATGGACCTCCTAAACTATAAAATATGTACAAATTGGACCTCTAACGAAATGGGTCAAAGCGAAACACGACAATAGTTTAGGGGACAAAGTGATACTTTTCAATAGTTTAAGGGTCCAATTTGTACGTTTTCATAATTTGAGTGGTTAAAATGATACCTTTCAATAGTTTATGAGATATCCATATAAATAACCCTGTGTTTGTTCAAAGCTATGCTTGAATAACATAACGTTTGAAGCTAAATGAAAATTTGATTACTAATAACACAAATTATGTGTCAATTCTATTTAATAAGTGTTTGGTTTTGTTTGGTTAATAATAAAATTGTAAATGGTATAGGCCTAATTATTATTTTTACACTTAAATGGGTTATATATTGTTAAAAAATATGAATATCTCATTCCTAATTCAAGAATATGATTATATTAGAATAAATAATAAGAAATTACTTTGTTATTTCAATTCATTTTAAGCATGTTTGATTAGTAAGATTAGAGCATAGGATTGAGATTGTCTTATATTTGATTGTAAATTTTATTAACTAGATTACATGTATAGCAGACATTTAATCCGACAAAATTGACGAATTTTTAATATAGAAAGGAATTGAAAATTATGATTTTAAATATAAAAAATAAGATAAAATAAAAACATAATAAATGGCTAATCATATTAATCAAAAAAGCTTTAAACACTAATAAAATAATGTGAACGAAATCACATTCCTTTACGGGTGATTTCAGAATTGACTATTTAAGTAATCTTTTAGTTAAAATATGAGGTAAAAAAATTAATATATTTGAAATTTTTTTAACTTTTTATAAAAAAAATAAAAATAAATTAAAACCTTTAAACTTTTTTCTTATAGTTCTTTAAAATTTGTAAATATTTTTAATCGCTTTTTAACATTTAAACTTTCTTTTAAATGTCCCCAAACCAAGCATTGTAATAATACTTTGAGAACTAGAACATTCAGACATAGCCAAACAGTAGTAATAACTGTGGGCTGGAGATTTGTGAACTTTGTAAAAGCAAGTGCAAGCCCGCCTAAACAAACCCTAACACTCTTCACCTTCCGTAAAACCACTGTGGAAATGAAGTCTTAACTTCCTTGTATCTTGATTAGGTATGTCAATTTTATTATTTTATTATTTTTATAATTACCAATTAATTATCTATTGTCATTTAGGGCTTACATTTTCCAACATTGTTCGCGGATATGTATAACGTAATTTTTTTTGTTCTTTCTTTTTTTCTGGATTGATGATGAAATCACAAAATACATTTTACTTTTGAGGATAAGGAGTTTTGTTGTTGTATCACAGCTTGAGATTTTTTTTTATCTATTAATCTATGTATAAATGGGGATTTATTTATTTATTAATATGTGTAATTTATACAACTGGGGTTGTGCCCAAAAAGCTAAAACTTGTGCTATGTTGTATTGATAATCAAGCCAACCAACCCTTCAATTTAGTTATTAAGGCCTCATTTGGGAAGTTGGTTATTTTAGTAGGCTATTTTAATTTTTGGCTATTTTAGTAAACTAAAATTTTTGTGTTTGGAAAAATGGTTAGATTTTTTTGTAGTTGGATGTAATGTTTTGAGAGAAAAAGTGAAATGATTATAGGTTTGATGCGATATTTTGCCTTATTGGCTATTTTAGTCTATTTTGTCTTTTTGCGAATTTTAGCCAAAAAAAAAGCCAAAAAACCTCTTGCCAAATAGGGCCATTGGAGTGCGGAATCGTGTTTCTTAGTAAGAAACTCAACTCGAGTAGAAGGTTCTTGCTAGACACTCAATTTTACCCTACTTTCATGCTTCATACACAACTCACAATAAGAAAGCCTAGTCTCATTCCCCATACAACCTCTTAACACAATAAATCATTTCCAAAGTACAGTATAACATGGTATTGAAGTACATATATTCTGGGTGTTTGGGAATTTGGTTTTTGGGTTTTTCTTTGTTTTTTTTTACTACAAGACAAATGTTTTACAAAATCAAAAAAAAACAAATCCAAACAAAATATCACATCAAACCCCATAATTATTTCACTTTTTCTCTCACAAACATCACATCCAACCACAAAAAAACCCAACTATCTTTCCAAACACAAAAAAAAATTTCTCCAATAATATCCTACAACTAAAAAAACCTACAAAAAAAAACCACTCCTCAAACACCCACATTATAACAAAATATTGGATTATTTAAGGAACGTTTGGATATAGATGAAATCTCATAGTCAAATTCTAGTTATTAAATTTAAGCCAAAGGAAAAACTTTAGTTATCAAAAATTGAGTGATACTGGCATTCTTGATATCTTATTATGAAATCTTCAATCGAAACTCTAAAGTACCAAGATTGTTATTACCTCCAATGATGAATCTGTAAACATAAATTTCAGAACATGAAAGTTCATGTTTCGGATCATCTACCATGTATATCATCAAAAAAACAAGACTAAAACGACATACCTGAATCCATCGATGAACAGTTAAACGAAAGCGTCTGATTGTCAATAAAACCTTTGATATTGACTATGTTATTGCCTTCTAATCCTTTCCCCTTTGGTGCCTTATGTTTCTCCTTGAGAGGATTTAGAAAAACAAAACAGTATTCTTGTTTTTTCACTCTTGGGAAGGAATAGGGACCATAACCTTTTAAAGGTTGTAATTGGTTTTCATAACTGAAAGGTAATGAAAACCAATAAATTAACCATTATTGGTTTTAAAACTGAAAGGTAATGAAAACCAACTTTAACCAATATGTTTTAATTTCTATTTCTGCCCCTCATAGAAATAGAAATTATACAACTAGTATCTACACATTAGGGCCATAACACATATACCCTTAAGCCTATTAACTAAATTGAATCACTTAAATGGTAGGCTTCTTATAAATGATAACACCACATTTAATTATATGGTCCCATTGAGACATTATCTAACAAAGCGAGTCTTCACTCTCTCTCACTTTCACTTCAAGGGTAAAAGTTATAGAGAGAGAGAGAGAGAGAGAGAGAGAAAAAAGCATATTATTATGTACATTTTTTCAAAGGACTTATTGAATTCAAGTCCACCAACACCTTCATTGCCATAAAAAGACCTTCGAATCTCTTAGTTCAATTATAATATCATCAACTTGGAATCTCTCGGTCCAATTACAATATCATCAACTTCATGGTTCACATTAACACTTAATCCATCGAAATCAGTATCGATTGACGATGCTTTGTATTGAAAGTCTTGGTTTCGAACCAAAATTCACATTCTACACAAAACTCTCAAACCCTAACTGACACTGCTGAAGTTGTGGCTTCACTACCTTCATGATCATAAGACTTAGCCTGTTAGAACAATCCCACTTTTCAAAGTACACAGTTTCCTCAGGAGTACTTTGTGCAGTGAGAGCATTCGGTTTTGGCATCCTTAATGCCAAGTCTATGTCCATGCAGCCGAGAACAATCAATATGTTCTCTCTCTCTCTCTCTCTCCTGAGGAAACTGTGAAGGAAATATATTGAAAATTTTTTTTTGAGATCGCTTCGGATCACTAAATTTATTGTTTTGGAATGAAAGTGTAACTTTTTCGGATCACTAAATTTATTGTTTTGGAATGAAAGTGTAACTTTTTCAAAACGTATGTACCAATACGTAATTCGCTAGGGTATTAGTGTTTTCTGGTAACACAAAACTAGATAGAAAGTGCTCATGACAACAGATAAGCTACCTTAAAAATACATGCATCTATCTAAAAGAAAAAAATGCACGTGAATTGCCCCTTCATTTTTCTAGCCACCTAAGAAACACGCAGTTCAAAGAAGACTCTACACTTCCTAACACTTGTTAGACATATGTCTAAAAAATGTCCTATTTTTAAAATTTCTGGACTTGGGCATACTTCAAACACGCGGGAAACACATTATGAATAAAATAATCAATAATAACAGAAAAATTATGTAAATTTATATTTATTCATCTCTAAACTTTAAAAATTATCATTTTTGAATTAAATACACATATATAAGATATAAGAATTATTTATTCTTATACATGTCATATAACTAATATGTATAAATATATATTTTGAATTTGTCCTCCATGTGTCGTGTCTTGCAGTTTTTGAAATTCCAGTGTCGACGTGTCATGTCACATGTTAATGTCTGTTTTTTAGCTGGTCATGTATCTACTTTCATATACCCATCTTATCCCATCTAGTATCACATTTA